CGGAGGATGATTCCAGAGGGCGGAAAGAAACGAGATGGCGTTGCCGCTTACGGGGAGGCTGAGCGGGAGCAGCAGTGAGCTGACCTGGGCCGATCCGGGAGGACTAGGCGGGGGGAGACCTGGTTAGTCTTCGGATGGTACTCCCGGAGCGGCAGGCTGGACCGCAAAGTTAAGAAAAACCTCCCAGGGAAAGACAAGGATAAACTGCTCACTAATGTGCCAAGAAAACTGGATGTGCCCGTAAACTCACCTAAGAGTCAGGAAACAGGGCCATTTTTTTTAAAGGATTAAGGTTTCCAGGGCTGACCATGTGTCCCAAAGAGACTCCTTCTGAGTCCCTGTTCTGCTGTTATCTGAGAGCCAAGAGCCTTGAAATCGGGGATGTCTGCAGGGGGTCAAAAAAGTCAAGATGGCAGCTGTGACCATGCAATCGATGCACTGCAGTGAGTGTAAAAAAGGGCAAGCCTTCAACCATGCAGTCACAGCTGTCATCTTGACTTTTCTGACCCCCCTGGGTGCCCCATGAGGGAGGTCATATTCCCCACAGGTTGAGATGCTGGATTCCAACAAGGGAGAGCCAAGTTCCAGGTTCAAGTCACAGAGCTTTCTGGGTAATCTGTGGCCAGGTCCCTCCCCAATATCCTGCGGTCTCCCTCCCAACTCCTCACCACGACTGACCCTCCTTAGCTTTTCAAGATCAGGCAAAATGATTAAGGTGCTGCTACCTGTTGCAAGATCTCTTCAGGTGGAGCTCAACTTTGCTGACCGTCAGGCCCTGGGCATCGTCTTGGCAACAGCACGGAAGGGTTTGCCTTCTTCCACACCCTTTTGGGAACTATTCCCAATCTAGCCAGTGCTCTGGGATTTCCTGGTAGTCTCCCATCCAGATAGTAACCAGTAGGTCTTTCCATATCAAGGTCAGCCAGGTGGTCCCCCTTCTGAGACAAAGCCCTCCTACGTATCTCCCCGACAACTAGTATTGAGCCGCCTACTCCCCCTGACCCTGGAAATAAGGTGTACCCGTTGTGTCGAGTTGCCATTGCTGGTGTAATGAGATTTGCCGGGGGGGGGGTTCGACTGAATAGTAACTCAGTTAATAGCATGCACTTTGGGTTTGAGGTTGAAAACGAGGGTGGACAAACGTGTCAAACGCGTCAGCCAAATTTAGCCAAGCTCACCTGTTGATTGTGCAAGGTCCTCCTTGCTCACCTGCCACCTCCTCCTTTCTTCCTATGGCCAGAGGGCAGATCACGTGGCAGCTGTGCCAGTGTGAGCGAGGCTCTGCCTGTTTTTTATTTGCACCCCTCTTGACTTTTTTGACCATATCCTGCGGATGCCCCTGCTAAATCACATAAAATAACATAAATCACACGATCGCCTGCTTGACTACGTACATAGGTATTTTGGAATAAAATAAAATATAAAGTATAATAGCGCATGAAAGCTTTGTTGACAACCTCAAAAACTGCAGGATGCAATCGGAACTTGGCTGTTGGCTTATTTATTTCCCAGCCAGGAGAGATACTAATTGAATGAACTGGGGGGGAAAAATGAAGTGAAAAGAATGTGAAACCGAGTATCTCTTTTTACCCCATTATGTGATTAATGGAGCAACTCAAGGCGTGTTTAGAGGACTGAAAAGATTTCTCGGTTGGAATAAGGAGGAGCGTGTAGAACTTGGTAACAGATTCTAATCTTGTGTGTACATATGGGTGTGTGTGTATTTACACCCTACTTTTAAAAGATAAATGTATAGTATTAAAAAGCTTCTAATCTAGACGAAATGATTTTTCAGTGCATGAAAGCACAATTGCATTCCCTTTTTCTTTCCTATACATTTTTATCCTAATGTGCAATGTGTTAAAGATGATCCTTTTGGCCAGTTTTTCTGCAAGATGAGCTAGTAGCATTCAGCGCATAGGTGTCACCCCTCTATATTCGTGACTCTGTGGCACGAGTGGCATGTCCCAAATCTAATGTTTCCTGTTTCTTGCTATTTCAAGTTTGGTTCAGTGGAACAAGGCCTGGCTAATACATTCCGACGGAGTTGTTTTATTTTGAACTTGAAACAAAACATCTTTCTGTTTCATGCACACCTTAGAAAACAAAATATCCTTGAATCCTTTTAAAGGTGCATATATCGTGCATAGAGTAAAAATATTAATAGAAGACAAGGTACATACACCTATGAGGAGCTGGTTGTTACCTCTGCATTTTGGAAATTCAGTTAGACCTCAGCTATCCTGCAGTGGACTGAGTGTAGTTTATATGGCTCTTGGATATTTGTTAATAATTATGTTGCATTTAAATTGTTACTTTTAAAACCACCAACAAACTATTCCAAACCAACACTGAGACTTTATATTTTTGGATGTTGACAAGTAAATACTAGTGCTTGCTTACTGCTACTTGCTAAAGGCATCCTGAAGCTCAGGAACATCAACAGGACGCAAGAGCACACACTTAGCACACGTGCCCACACGCATGGCAGAGCTCAGCTAGCTAGCAAACAGGCTAACCAACGGCATACTTTTCCTTTCTACAACCTCAGTAGCATTAGCCACACTTGCATGTGAAACAGAGAAGTGTTTGTGAGCAAACACAAGCACCTGTGCCATGCCCCCTTTGCACTATCTGCCTGCAAGCAGAAGGAAGCACAGTGCCACATGGGTGTGCAACCCACGAGCCTAACAAAGATTGTACAAACTGTGAACAGCCTTTGTGGGGTTTCTCCATAGCCGTAATTCAGTGTTTCTCAACCTTGGCCACTTCAAGATGTGGGGGTGCATGCCGGTTGGGGAATTCTGGGAGTTGAAATCCACACATCTTAAAGTGGCCACAGTTGAGAAACACGGCCTGAATTGTTCTTTCCTCTTAACTTTCCAGCCCCACGTCCCTCCTTCGGGTCTAAATCTATAGGACTGAGACGTGTCTGCTGCAATTCTGGTGAGGCTGGAAAAAGTTTGAAAAATGGTGATCCACAAACTGGTGTGCAAACTGACAGCCCAATGAAGACATTTGGAAACCGTTGGAACCCTCGAAACAACCCTGTTGAAAAGGGATGGGATGGAAACAAACGCTCAGAACACACTTGCTTTGCTTTGGGTTCAGAATACCCAAAGCCCACCCAGGACAAAATGTCTGGCCTGTTCTCTTTGGGTAGCCCGCACCTAATTCATTAATTAATTAATTTTAAAGATTTCTGCAGCCACCCATCTGAAAACACAGCTCTGGGTGGCTCACCGCCGTAATAAAAGGACAAACCATAAAATCACAAAAACTAAACTAAAGCTGAGAATGGAAAAACCTTAGCTAATTTGTTTTTGCTTCCTCGGTGAAGAAAAGCAGGCAGGATGCTTCGGAGGGCAGGGAATCAAAAAGAGGTTCCGCACTGACCGGGGATTCCAGTCGCCCGGGGCAACCGCTGCAGGGTTCTGGAATCAAAACAATCCGTGGGTCTGGAGGAGGGCGGGCTGCTGCCAAGCCGAGCTTCCTGAACACTCACCCCCCCAATGCATTGCACAGAGCTCCTTATTTTTCTCTTGGGGTGCGCCTGCCAGTGTGCAAAGACTGCGCTGCACGCTCTTTGGCCCCCCCCTTTGCAGGTCATCTGTTCAAACCCCCAGCATCACGTCTACCAGAAGCAGGACACGGAGCTGCGTCTCTCGTGCTTCTGGGATGGGCAAGTCGACCTGAAGTATTCCAGGATGCCCGTGTGGGCATCGGAGGTTGAGGGAGAAGAAGCAGACCCCCAACCTCCTCCTCGCTGTCAGTGGTACCAAGATGCCCTCTTGGTCATGCAAACCCAGCGCTGGTCAGGTCAGCTTGTGCTGAGCAAAGGCCTGGATGGAGGACGCCCCGACCCCTCTCGGGCCTTTACCCGGATTGTGATGCAGTGTGTGTCAGTCCTGTGCCGGGAGCCTCCCTGCACTCACCGCAACTTTAGCATTGACGTTTCCAGGCAAGATGTCCGCCTCTTCCTCCTGTCCCCCCAGAACCTCCCCATCTGGGAATGGCAACCCGTGACGTTGGGCTGGTGTGCACGCCTTAAAAGTTCCCTCTGGAGCTACCGCTTCAAGAGTGAAGGGGGTAGCCCTGCAGACGTGCTTATTCCCAGCAACCAACACAGTGAACCGTTTGCCTCCACCACAGGCCTCCACGCACCGTTGCACCATGCCTGTGAAGTGTATTATTACTATCACACAACCGTGCGTTATCCCCAGCGTGGATTCTATACGGTGTCGCTCCACTTAGAGAATGGGCCTCCACTCAGCCTTAGTCTGGCAGCCTTCCACGTGCGGCCTGCTCTGCTCCACGTCTTCAGCACCTCTTCTACCTTGCTTAGTCGAACCCAGAGGTCTCTCGCCCTCTCCTGGCGTCTCCAGCCCCTGAGCTCCACCATAGCAGCCTACACATTGGAGGATCTGCAGGGACTGGAGGAATGGTCTCTCTCCTACCAGTACAACCCTTTTGCTCTGCAAAGCAACTTCTGTGCTCCACCCATCTCACGAACCTCTGGGAAGAAGGTGATCTCCAGAATCTACTTCCGAACCAACAAAACGTTCTCTGAGGAGCTGAGAGGACATCTTGATTTCTCTAATGACACTTTGATTTTCCAAGCCAGCAGTGCTGCCCGGGTTTCCATCAGGCTCAACCCACAGAAAACCAAAGTGGGGACATACATTTTTAACCAGCACCTGGGGCTCTTGTATTCCACCCTAGAAGACAGTGGTTCCTCCGGGACCAGTGGGACCTCCAGTCTCCACCACCTCTTTTTCCAGCAAGTGGCTCTTTCTTCCCTAATTGCCATTGAATTTGTGAAGATACAATGGTTCAGGTTCACCGTGCACTTATATCTGAACCAAAAGGAGATCCTGTTCAAGTCCTTAGGCGAAAAAGAGATTGAAGTTCACGTCTTCAGCGGGCATTCCCCCGATAAAAACTTTGTCTATATTGTGTGGTTCATACCTGTGCCGCACCCCCGCTTGCAGTGTGACTGGGCGTTCAGCCTGCAGCTTTTTCACTCCGGGAAGGAACTCCTCCTTTGGCATAAGACGTACACCTACAGGGACCGTGTCAAAAACGCCTCTCGCTTTCTCCCTCCCTCTGCCTTGTCTTTCAGACCCACGCAGTATGCAGGCTTTGTAGCAGAAGTGAATTGCAGGCAAAACGGACTCGTGCGGGCTGTTTTAAAAGCCACCATTGGGACTTATGCCTCGAGGGTGATGGAGCCGGCTGTGGCCTGCCAAAAAAGTTATTGCTATAAACTGACCGTTGCGATCCATAAACCTAACCCTTTGGATCCCGTGCTGCGTTACAGGAGAGAGAAGGCGATCGCTTTGCAGGCAACAGCCAAAGCGAAATGCAGGACCCGTCCACAGCTGGGTCTCCTTTGGAAAATATACAATCTGAGCACTGCGTGGTCCGTTCCAGATTGGCCAAACCCGCTCACACTCCCTGAGGGGCTGAACACCGGTGGCACCGTGTTGCACATCCCTGGAAATGTCCTGACGTATGGCTTCCACCATGTCAATGTGAGCATGAGCGTACACCTACCTGCAGAAAACATAACGTTCATTGAGTCCAGCTCAGTTTTCCTCCAAATTCTAGAAAGTGGGTTAATGGCAGTTATCGCCGGAGGCCTATTTCAGACTGTGGGTGTTTCTGATCGGTGGTCCTTGGATGGGTCTCCCTCCTCAGACCCTGATTCCATCAAGCCTCTGGAAGGAATTCTGTTCCACTGGTTCTGTAGCAAGCGGGAGTCAGACTATTCGGCAATGGAGTTAGGTCCCGGTCAGAAATGCCACCCAGGACAACTTGATATGCACTGGACTCACTCCAAAGAGCCAGTACAAGTAGTGGAACCAAAGACCCTTCAGGAGAACACGATGTATTATTTTAAGCTGGTCATTACCAAGCAAACCCGGTCTGCCCACACGTTCCAAGCAGTCCGTGTCCTCCCTGGTTCTGCGCCTGTCCTGAGCATCGTCTGCTTTGAGAACTGCGAGAAAGCCATCCAAACCACGGAGAGATTGATTCTGTATGGAAAGTGTCTGAACTGTGAAAAAGCCCGCTTGGTTTATTTTTGGACCCTTCTTTTAGCCGATTCCAAGGAAGTCAGTTTTGACTGGGCTTCTAAAACTACGACTGGGAGAGCCAGTCCATATTTGCATGTAAATTCTTTGGCCTTTAGGTACGGCCAGTTCTATACCCTTAAACTGAAAGTAAGCAAAGGGGGCGTCCCGTTGGCCGTGAGTAGCTATTCCTTTTATGTCCATGTCCCTCCTCGGGTGGGAAAATGCTTTATCGAGCCAAGGGAAGGAATCGCGCTGATGACAAAATTCATTCTCCAGTGCACTGGATTTGACGACAAGAAGGGACCTCTTACCTACAAAGTGATAGCCCGTGCTGATCTAGCCGAAATAGCTAACATATCATCTGTGCAAAATAATACATTCGGAACCATCATTTATCTTGGCCATCAGCAGAAGACCCCACCCTCATTTCTCCCCAGTGGTATTCCATCTGAAAAATATGCTCTGGACATATTTGTTCAAGTATATGACACTGAGGAGGCGTTTTCTCAAGTCGGGTTGCAGGCGACGGTGCATGAGTCAAGATCTAGTAAGCCCACTGATGTTGTTCTTGACGAATTGTATCGCCTAATCAGACAGCTTAGTAGCCCCCCCTCTGTCTTCCTTGAGACCAAGGATTACTTTCATGCAGGCTTCATTCTGTATATGGTGGCCTCCGAACTTAATCACATTGAGGCATTGCCAGGTTTTTATCATTCTAAAACTGAGCTGCGAGAAATGCTTCTTAACAAGTCTTCGCAGATTCCCACCACCGAGACAGGGGTGCTAAACCAAATAATCTCCAGCATTTGCCAGATAACACAGGACCCAAATGAAATCAGTAGGGAATCCCAACTTATCGCGGTCAGAACCCTAAAGAAAGTCAGCAAAGCTCTGAAAAGGCATAGAGACACCGATCTTGGTTCTGAAGAAGTGGAGGTCCTCGCCAACGGCGTCTTCACCGGGCTGTCCAACGTGTTAAGAGCTGCCCTCTTAAACCATAGGAATGTACGTGTGAATGTAGTCAAAGAAATAATTTCTGTGTCAGAATTATTGGCAGAGATAGTCTTGCAAGGCAGAGTCCCTGGGGAACACGGCATTTTTATGGAAGCCAAAGGCTGGTCCATCCATTTATGGAAAGATGAAAACGGGGAAGTTTCTAGGACTCTCGCTAAGAGAAGACCCTGTGAGAATTGCTTTTATCCTAGAGTGAAGTTGGACAGCCAGAGGGAGTTACCGGCAAATGCTCTGATTTCGATTGCTCATTACGTATTTGAGGAGAATCCTTTCCCTTGGCTGGCGAAGGCAGCGGATACTCACACGGTCGTGATGGGGTTCAAAGTGGTGGGTGCCAAAGCAAATGGTGACGTCATTGGGGTCACCCCTAGAGTGGCCGAAGTGATCATGGATAGACTAGATAAGGATCCCAACACATTTAACCTGACGATGGGGCTAGATAAAAAGCGTGCTGCAACAGTGGGTGGGTTTAGTATGGAAGTAAACAGAAACTCTCCCGACATATACATCCAGATTTTGTGCAATAGGAACATCACTTTCAATGTCTCTGTCTACTTGGGACTCAATGTTAGCTCCCCCCCGGTTGTGTCTTACACTGCTTTCCCTGACAAACCTCCCGTTCTGCAGAAAAGGGAGACCAGTCTTGACTGTGCAATTAAGGCTCCATACATCCTTTGCCTTCCACGGGCCTTGCTCTGGTCTGGACTCCAAGCCAAAGCTGCAGATAAGTGGAATGTTTCAGTGGTCCTCAGATCTCTACCCCTGGTGAGAAGGCAGAACACCAAGATGGTTCGCATTGTGGCTTTTACCGCACACTGCCAAGATCTCGGTAACCTTCCCAACCTCGAAGCTTCCGGAGAGACTTGCCATCTGGGCCCTCAGACCAGGTTGTCCAAGCTCCATTGTGTCTGTGGAACAAACACCAAAATGGCTCGGAGCCAGTTACAAAAGCCTTCTAAACCTGAAGTCAGATTCGTTGCTGGCACGTTTGTTATTTACCCCAATCCTTTGGATATAAAGAAAGTACTCTCGGCCAGTTTTGACACAAATCCAGTGACCATTTTGACAGTATTTTTCATTTTTGCAGGCTACTGCTTCTGTGCATCCTGGGCTATAATTAGAGATAAAGAGGACATGAGAAAGAAGAACAAAATCTTTGTCTTGGCAGATAATGACCCTTATCACAGAATGCATTATCTGGTCACCATCTATACTGGAAGTCGCTTGGGATCTGGAACCACGGCTGATGTTTTTCTTGAATTGATTGGGAAGGATGGCTACAGCGATGTCCACTGCATGAAGCATCCAAAATTCCCAACCCACTATCGTGCAGCTGTTGTCACCTTTCTTCTAGCTACAAGGTATGACATAGGGGACATTGATTACATTCACATCTGGCACAATAATGTTGGTTCTTCCCCAAACTGGTACTTAAGCAGAGTCAAAGTATTTAACGTGGAAACTCAAGGATCGTGGCTGTTTATCTGTAGGAACTGGTTAGGCCTTGGCAAGGCGGATGGCAAAATAGAAAGATTTGTTTCTTTTTCAACTCCAAAATCGAGGTTAGAGAAAATGGATTACTTTTTGATAAGCCTGGCTAGAGACTTAGAAGACAGTCATCTCTGGCTTTCCATATTTTCTCAAGTGGCCACCGGTTCTTTCACCAGGGTACAGAGAGTTTCTTGCTGCCTGGCTATAATGCTTTCAACTTTGCTCCTGAACATCATGTTCTTCAGTGGTCAGGAAGAAGAAGATGTTATTTCATTAAAACTACGTATCATGAGATCCATGTATATTGGGTTCTTCAGTGCTCTGTGTTGCGTTCCTTTACAGCTGACTATCACCGTCTTATTTAGATATTCCCAGGAAAAACCTTCCGAAGACAAGGATGACATAGTGCCTGAATATACCCCCTCATCTTCAGAAACAGATGAGGAAGCTGACGACAGCTCCTCATCTTCCGAATCTACTGATGAAGAAGAGGAGCCAAAGGCAACTGCCAGCGCGGCTAATGTGGCGGAAAAGGAGCCCACTAGTATTAGTGCAAGGAAAAGATTTATTATGCTGATCAAGTTATTTACTCGAAAGCCACAGTTTGCATGGTGGTGGAGATACGTCGCTTGGGTCCTCATTTTTCTAATGTCTTTCATCTCTGCCTTGTTCATTATCTTATATGGCCTCACCTACGGCTATAGTACCTCAACAGAGTGGTTCATAGCATCCATCACGTCGTTTTTCGAGAGCGTGTTTCTGCTGCAAACCCTAAAGATGGTCGTCATCTCAGGTGTGAGTACCATTAGCCTCAAGCACTGTAAGAACCTCTCCTGGGTAACTACAGAGCAATACCAAAAGATGAAGCTGGTCAGAGTGAATATAGATGTCAAGGATGTTCGAAAGTTTCACCACGAACTGATCAGAATTAAGCAGACCAAGGAATATGAGCCTTTGGAAGAGGACGAAGTCGTTATCTTAAGAAAGAAAGTACGAGCACAACACCTAGCATTTGTTTTCATAAAGGATATCATCTGTCACCTTATCTTTGCTTCTTGTATTTTAATTGTGGCTTACTCTACTGACCCCACAGTTTCTTTTTATCACAACAAAGTTCTCTATGATAAGTTTTCCCTTGGTCTGTCCAAAGTAACGGAACTCAGAGACATTTACATTTGGATGAAGGACACCTTTGTACCTTTGATCCATAATGACTATCAACCCACCTACCTTTCAGACTCCTGGTCCAAAATCCTTGGCTTGCCCAGGATGAGACAGGTCAGAGGACAGCATTTCACAAAGCCATGTTTTCCTCCAAACCACTTTGCAAATAATTATTTGATTGGCAAAAAACCCTGTCACTATGATTTTGCTCATGATCCAGAAGATCAAAGGCACTACCTTGGGTCATGGGCCAAGCCAACTAACACGTCCACCTCCAAGCACACTGCTGATTTTCAAGGGTTTACTTACCAGTCAGACATTGATCAATGGGAATATAAGTCTTATGGTATGGTCAATTCATATGGTCCTGGAGGATATTCCTTTTATTTCTTTCCAGGAGAGCAACGACCCAACACAACAATAAGATTGGAAGAATTGCAAAGGAATAAATGGCTTGATGAACGGACCTGGGCTTTGATTTTTGAGCTGACCACCTTTAGTCCAGATGTAGATCTATACTGCAGCATCACTGTCATTTTTGAATACATTGACTTGGGCATTATTAGTTCAACTTCGTCAATTCATTCCTATAAACTCTCTAAATTCCAGTATGAAACCACCTCTCGGATGGTTGTCTATGGAATCATAGTGTACATTCTTGTATTCTACCTAGCAGATGAATTTCACATGTTACGTCAAGAAAGAATAGGTTATCTCCAGACAGCGACAAACTTAAATAATTTCGCCATAAAGACCATCTGTATGTTTTTTATATTGCTCATCGCACTGAAATTCAAGCTGGCATTTACCTTGCTGGAGTTTTATCTGCTTCATCCAGAAGAATTTGTTCCCTTCCAGGTGGTTTCTCAAATTGACCAGGTCTACAGGATGGTGGCGGGCATTTTAGCTTTTCTCCTGGTGCTGAAACCCTACCGTTATTTCAGGTTCTTGTACAACGTGCGTCTTGCCGAGCAAACTATGTCCAAAGCCTTCCCTGTGTTCCTTCATTTGACGGTTCTTGCCATACTGCTGTTTTGCACATACGTGTCATTTGGATATCTCATATTTGGTCAGCACGAGTGGAGTTTTAATACTTGGTTTCGGTCTCTGCAGACTGTAGTTTCCTATTGTTTTTCGGGGTTTAAGCAGATGGACGTTGCGTCGAGATGGTGGCTCACAGTATTTTTCCGAGCCTCATTTCTCTTTACCATGATGTTCATCTTCATCAATTTATGGAGAAGCCTGTTAATATCAACTTACTCATCAGTGAAACAGACAGTTTACGAGCAACATTCGGATGAAGCAGAAGCAATAAACTTTTTGTATTTGAAGATGAAAACCGTATGGTGTAAATTAACCCACCAGTCAGCACCTGCAAGTGATCAGGCCAACGTTACAATCTTTGGAAAACCGGTACGCAGAGGTAGTCAACTGCAGGGGTTGAAATGCAGGCGAATAAATGGCAAGAAAATGGTTTACCTTTCGGTTTGAGAAAGATATTGGTGGACGTCGAATACGTTCCCAAGCTGACCTCCACAGAGTTTTCAGTCTCAAAACTTTCCGTTGCAACCACCTCCATCTTTGATGAAATTCTCACGCCGCTCAGATTCTTATTTTTCCTGTAACCACAACAAACAGCCCAAGATTTAGCATGCAGTGTCATGCTTTAAAAAAAACTGTTCTGTCCTATGTTCCCCCAGTTATTATTCCAATAAAAAATACATTTAAACCGTGTGCTTTTTCAAGTTTTTTTTTTTTTTTTTTAGGTTACCTGTCAGAGGATTAGTAAAGTTAGGCAATCCTGCTACTGTGGTAAATTTTATCTGTATGGCATTTGCAATCAGGCTGCAAAAATAAAATCAAATAATGAAAGAAACAGGATAACAAGGCAAGACCACCAAGAGTATGTTACCACTTTTCTGGTTTTTAGCCTCTTATTTGTAAGAGCATGATCAGTATTTTGTGCGATTGTAAAATCTCTGTCGTAGCTGTAGTAAAAAAAAGTCAGCTCTGCAAGTGTCACCAAGTTCACACCCACAATCTTTGAAGAACGCCCATAAAAGCTCCCAGTCGATATAGCTGTTATAATATGAGGACACAGCATTACAGTTCCAATCGCTGGACTTTATAACTGTGGGGATCTGATTCAAATTAGCTATTCAGATATTCAGTGGTACTGTTTAATTAATCAAATGTGCAGTAGTATACTGTATTTCACTTTTTTCCCTTCTAATTAGGGCCCTCAAATTTTCCCCAAATTATTTGGGTTTGCTTTCTTTTAAGCTGCCCATTAAATTATACACAGTCATAATCTCTTTGCATTCAGTCGTATTAACTGTTCTATTCCGTTAACTTTGAATATTCTATTTGAACTTACATTTTTTATTGACAAACCAGTTATTTAATCAGTCAGTGTTGATTATTATTTTTATCTGTGACATAGAAGCTCTTTGGAGAACATTTTTCTGTAATTATTTTTTCTTCCAAGACTGAAAATATGAAGCCTATTAAGAAATCAACTTCTTGTGATTTATAATCGGTACAGGTAGTGAAATCCCCCAATTTTTAAATTTTTTTTTGTTTAATCTGGTCCATGTCCATAAAGCTGTTGAAAGACTGGGGTTTAGTTTCATAAGGTTTTGCTTCTATTTTCTCAGTAATCCAGAATAATGTCATTAATAGTATTATATAACAAACTATTTCTCTGAATAGAACCAGCTAGATAATTTGCAGGCTGACAACATTATGAGGCAGAGCATGCTACATTTTGACATCTCTGGCTGCATTTTGCATTATTAAAACATATCACGGCTATTTCATGGAGATGTGACTAGTCACAAAAGAAGCCAGTAACAAAAGATGTGGAGATCTACAACCAAACTCGGCTGATTTCAAAAAGCTAAACTAGGTTGAGCCTGGTTTAGTACTTGGAAAGTGCACCACAAGGAAACCTCAGGAAAGAAACGTATTTTTGTACCTAGAGGTAGTCCTCACCTAATGACCAACTCTGGGACCGGAATCTCAGTCATTAAGCGAAGCAGTCATTAAGAGAGATGCACCCGTGACTGCTTCGCTCAACGACCGCAATCCAGGCACTCCCGGTTGTGGTCATTAAGCGACCTCCCGGGACATTAAGCAGACAGAGCGAAAGAGCTGTCTGCTGAAGGAGTTCGACACGGAGCTGAAATCCTTCAGCAGACGAACTCTTTTGCTCCGTCCTCTTTCTGCTCCCCTCTCTCAGCGATGACTGGAGCACCTGAAGATTTGAGAAGCACTACTTGTATATGGATATGAGCAGTGCTCAAATGCTGCATTGCTTGGGGGTTTACGGCACTGATTTTCTTTTGAGCCCCCTCAAGCCCCCTTCCCCCAGAGGCCAAACCTTTTGGTTTTGCATGCTGTCCAGATGGCTCAGGGGCAGTAAAAGTCTTAAGAACCTGAGACAGTTCTGCTGAACCAGGCCTGGGCCCATCTCAGCCTTTTATTTCTCCCAGGGCCAACAGATCCCTCTGGGAGGCTTGCAAGCAGGAGACGCAGACCAACCCCTGTCCTGCCATTGCCCCCCTACAACTGGCAATGGAGACATGCTTCTCCTGGCCCTGGAGGTTCCGTGGGGTCTTCAAGACCAGTATCCCTTGATCAACCTTCCATGAATTTATCCCACCCCTTGGAAAGCCGTGGTAAGGAATAGAAATTACCTTTTAACAAAACTTCCTGGTAACACGACTTTCCCATACTTAAGGGTCAAAGTGATGAGGCTTGGAATTTGAATGTGTTTACAAAAAGGAAGGGGTCACACACCCCAAGGTGAGAAATGGGGATGAAAGCTAATGAAACAAGTCTTGCCTTTTATTGGTAAGAATGTGTGAATCAGGGAAGGAAGAAAAGATAACAACACAAAGGGCAGTTACTTAGTGAAGACAGATGGTCCTGGGCCTTGACACTTATCTCAAGAAAATTAGAAACTGTGAACAAGAAAAAAGGGGTTTGGGAATAATATATGCATTTTAGCCGACTCGGATAGGTTGTGAACTCGGATTTCCCCACCCCAGGCAAAAATGAGTCAGGACCAACGCAACGTGTGAAGGGATGCATCAAAACCTTGCTGAAATCTCTCATGGCGCGCTTCCTGCAGCCTGCGAGCTGAGAAGCGTCAGCCTTTGTAAACGCTTGGAATTATTTTTATTTATTTATTTATTTATTTATTTATTTATTTATTTATTTATTTATTTA